ACACCCTCCCTCTCTGCCTCAGCCACGTTAACCCTTGTTCATTTCCCTTAACATTGTGCTTCTGCTCATCTCAGTCTTTGCATGTGCCCTTTTTTTCTACCCGGAATGCTGTCCATGCTCCGTCATTAACCACCCTTGTCCAAGTTGCTCCTGCTCTTTCATCCTTCAGATCTCAGCTTCCCTGATCCTCCCCCAACATACACAGAATGGGTCTGGCCACTGCCAATACGTTCTCACACCCCCTGTACTTCTTTTCCACGGTTATATACTAATGAGTTGCCCTCCTGTGTGCTTCACTGTGATGGTTGTCCACGGGTTGCAGCCAAGTCCCTTCTACTGACTGGTGCACACCCAGAGCCTGGAGTGGGGCTCTGGCAACATCTGCCACATGAATGCAGGGATGACGGTCCTTTGGTTCTCCTACCAGATAACAGAGTTGACACATTGTCGGGTTCACCATGGTGCCATCTCCTACAGTGCATCCCCTTCTACAGACCCTACCGCCATGCAACTGGTGCTCCCATGCACCGTGCAAATGCCTGTTTCTGTGTGCCTCTATTCCCCCAGCACTGAGCCCTGGGGCGCAGGGCCAGGTTGGACTTGTCTTTGGTCCTGTGTCTGGGAAAAGGTGGGCATGGTGCTGGGGAGCCATGGGAGCTTATAGGAGCCCAGGCCTGTCTCCGTGAGGTTCATGAAGCTAGCTGAGCCCAGATGGGCTGAGGAGAAGGCAGCTGTGGCCACTGCACCTGTTGGGTCTCGGTCAAATCTCCAAAGATTAATTCTTCCATTAGCAGTTCCTCAGATAGTTCCTAATTCTCCAAATCGCAGTTCCCCAACTAACCAAAGTCACTAACATCACATTTTGGTTCCACTGGACTTGTCAGCTCTGACTCCCATCAAATTACAGGTGAGAAGGGGCAGAGTTTTCTGCTTTCCACCTTCTCTCCTTTTCTCCTATTTTTTTTTTTTGTTATTGTTAGTTGTCTCATTTCTACTTTGTGAAAACACAGAGCATTTGCATCCCATTCCTCCACACCTTCACCTTTGTTCTGTCTTAGATCTGCAGCTGAAAATATTAGAAGCGCTCTGCCATTCCTACTGCTGAAATGTTTTCTGTTATCTCTTGGTTGGTTGGAGTTAGCCCTCTGAAAGTTTCCTCAAGAATGAAATATTTTCAGATGAATTGAGAAGACGTCTGGGATCTGAGCTGAGAATTGTTATAGCTAGGCCCCTTGGGTTATTGCAATGTGACCATGAGGGTTCACAGTGTCCTATTTTTGTGTATGGCATTTTCTGTTTTTTTAAAAAAAAGTTTAAAAAGTTAAAATAAAAATTTTTTTATAAAAGAAGGGCTCATGTGAACCATATTCTGAGTTCTTAAATGTGTGGTAATGTTGGTCTGTAGCCTTTATACTGTATCCTCAACTGGGTTTGAAATTTACTTCTCACACTTTTTTCCATGGGGATCATCTAGGCGTGGCTGCCCCACTTTTGCCACAGAAGGTTGAGCGGTCCCTAGAAGTCTGATTTCTAACTCACTGGAATTTCTAATAAGTGACTTGATCTTTCTGGCTGGCTGGCTTTCTTTATCTTTTTCATCTTTTTTATTGAAATATAGTTGATTTACAATGTTGTGTTAGTTTTAGTTTTGTATATGATTCAATTACATATACAAAAGTGATTCAATTACATATACATATTTTTTCAGATTCTTTTCCATTTTAGGTTATTGCAAGATATTGAATATAGTTCCTTGTGCTATACACTAGGTCCTTGTTGTTTATCTATTTTATATATAGTAGTGTGTATTAATCCCAAACTCCTAATTTATTCCTCTCACCCCTTTATCTTTAAGGTACAATAATTTTTTTAGGGTTCGTCTCGGTGATGGTTGTTCTGGTTCAGTTTTCCCTAGTATGCTGTTTGCCCTTTCCATATTGATTCTAGATTTCTTTTATTTCAGGAACATTTCTTAATTGTATTTTTAAATATTTGCTCTGTTCCATTGCTTGGCTTTCTTCTTTGGGAATTCCAGTTGTGGGCACAAAGTTTTCTACCTTCCACATCTGCCATTGTCTCCCAAACACTGTGTATGTCTTTAATATGACTCCTTCTTTTTTCTTTGCTTTTTTTCATTTCTGTTCCCATAGGTACCTACTGTGGCTCCTTCTAGTTTAGTCTTCATTTCTGCAATGGTTTGTTTTACCTTTTTTCTTCTGTTTTATTCCAGAGTTATGTAAGTTCCTTTTCTGCCTGCTCCTGTCGTCTGCCATCTCATCCCTGAATTCTGGTATTTCTGTTTTACAGTCTTCCTTCATAACTACTAATGCTTTATTAAGTGTCTTATTTTATTTCTAAAATTCATGTTGGAGTTTAATTCATGTTAGGTAATAATTTTCATGTGCCTTCTTTGAGGCACACTTTTTTGTGGGATTTCTTTGTATGTGATGTCGTTTTGGTATTCTTTTTCATATTTAAAAAATAGTATGTTTTTACTGTTAGGTAGAAAAAAGTGAAGTCAAAACTGCATATCTCTGGAATGCTATCATTCCTGTAAAGAAAGAAGGAGGATGCAAGAAAATATGCAGGGCACATGTCTCTGCATATTTGTGGGAAGAAAATGCAGGAGGATAAACCAGAATCAGAGAGACCAGTTATCTACACGGGACAGGTGGGAAGGCAGTGGAAAGAAGGAGGGAATGGCAACAGGGTAGCAGAGATGAGGAGAGAGTGACACTTAACTTCAGAAAAGTTAAATTTGATGTGTGAGTTGGTGATGGGCTTTTAAAAATTCTTCTTCCTGTGTTCTTGTTGCCCCATAGAGTTTCAGGAAGGAGAAATGGGCTGAATTAAGAATTAAGCTATAGCCACGTTGCTTCCAGACTTAGAAGTCTGGCAGGTTGAGCTGCTGTTCTCTGTTTACCGAGAAACCACATCCTGTCCTCCCTGCCCTCGCCCTGGTAACCTGTCTCTCGAACCGCGTCACCCGGGCTCCCTCACCCTCAGGACTCGGTTGCGTTCAGCCAATGGGGGATATTGATAGGAGATGGAGAAGAAGAGGAGAGGAATTTATTCCTCCTGCTTCCTTCTTGCTGGGTGTGGTTGGACAGTGGCCCTCTTCCTCTGCTGACAGCTGCAGCTCCTGTCTGCTGACCCTCTCCTACAGCTGCAGCTCTCTTCGGGGTCTACAGCCCCTCCAGGCCCAGGGAGGAAACAACTCCCACTGCTCCTGGTCGCTGGGGGCCTCACCATCCCTCTTTGGTTCCCTTAAGTCTGTCCACACCTTTGTGAACTGTCCCTTTCCTCAGGTATCCCTTTGATGTGCCCTCTGATTTTTTCCGGAACCCTGACTGACAACCATGGATGTATGAGTGCTGATCTGCTGGGGAAGTCTTCCTTTGGTGACTGACAAACCGAGTCTCCAGGAGTCTAGTCTCCCTGTGGCTGGGAGGGGTCTGTATGTGCAAGATATGTGGGCCGTATATACTAGGAGCTCAAGTCCATGAAGTAGAAGTAGGAGAAAGCATAGGCAGGATGACAGTCATAAAACTCTTGACATTCATGGCATTTGCAGTTCAAATCACAGGAGAAAAAAAATCATCATGCCTCAGACATAAGACAGCCCTAAGTATTTAAGTACTCACAGGTTTTTTTTTTTCAGAATTATTAATTGCTCAGTTGGCAAATTGCTGTTTGAAAAATTGACTGTCCTGACTTGATGATGTAGTCAGCTGGTCCTTTGCCAGACTGGGTTGTTGAGCAGATTCTACTTGGAGAATTAGTTGACTCTTGTCAAGGCTCGATTCTCCCCGCCCCAAGTGCAGGACTTGACCTTCTGACTCAGGACAGGCTGACATGGGTGCCTGTGTTCAAGGCCTGCTCTGTTGGGGCCCGGCACGTACCAGGCTTCTTCCAAAGATGGGGTGGTTCCCACCTGAGTCATCTCAGCCTCACCCAGGCAGGTAACACTGCTCACTGCAGGAGTTACCCAACCCCTCAGACCAGAATCCCGGTTAGGAGGGTCTTGGGCTGTCCTAGTTTCTTTGGATGGGAGCCACAGATGGGCTGGCCTGAGCTGAGAGGACAGGGAGCTGGTCAGAGCTAGAGTGGGAAGGCCTGTGGGACTAGATGTGGGCCAGAGCACCAAGGTCCGGGGCCCAAGTCCAGTCTTGGGCCGCTTGGCCTCTCCAGCTCTCTTGCCTTCCCCCTGTTGGGCATTTGGGATCTGCGCCTGAACCCAGCCTTGCCAGGAGATCTGGGGCCATGGTGTGTTGTCACTGGAGTATGGGTGCTCACACTGGGGCCAGGCATTAAGGAGGAGAGGGTCCCATGTGCAGGGGGGATGGGGTGAAGGCAACAGCAGTCTGACAGGGAGGGAAAAAGTGCAGCCGGAGTCCTGCTGAGTGGCCGAGCCGTGACCAGGGCCTGTCGAGCTGGCGAGCTCCTGAGGAGAGGGGGATGGTGGGGAGGGGTTGTGGGGTCTGGAAGCTATCCGAGACCTGGTGGGTGACACTGCCATCCTGACAGGGAGTCCGGCGCAAAGGACCCCTCTGGGGGTGGGGGACACACACATGTCAGAGGAAACAGGGAAGGGGCTCTGATGGGCCTAGGGAGCATCTCTGTGGGTCTCTCGGACCACTTCCCACCAGCCATGTCCCAGGAGCGCCCCCACCCTTGGCAGCATTGTCCCGATAGTGTGAGCAGAGCTCTCTGGCGTTTGGCTGTGGCAAGGGGAGGCCAGAGTCATCTGGACCTGCTTAAGCTCCAGGGCGCTCACTGTCATGGCCCCTTCCGAGTCCACAGGGTAGTGCATATATATTTATAAAACTTGCAAGAGAGAAGTAGTGTATTTTTTCTTACAGGGACTCTCCACATTGTTTAAGACTTGATCTACTCCTGCCAGTGGCACGTGTGGGGCTGTGGCCTTGTGACCCAGAGTTCCTGCTGCCCACAGCATCCACTGCCCACCCCAGGCGGGCCGGCCACTGCCCAGGGCCTCCCGGTACCACTCAGGAATGTGGGAGGGCCTCAGCTCCATAAAGCCTGTGTCAGGTAAACACTGATTAGACGCCACCACACCCTCCTGGACCCCTCTGAGGGATGAGGGAGCCTACATGGGGGGAGCAGCCTCAAACTCCTGCCCCAGGCCTGGACTTTTTGAGTAGGGCCTTGGGAGAGCCTTTCCTCCATGACTCCTGGCCAGTGGCGGCGGGTCCCATCTCCAGGCCCTCTCACTCCGAGGCAGGCTCATACCCCTGCCACTCTTTGCTCCACGCACTGGTTGGTCAGGGCTCACTGCCAAGCAGCACCGCCCTAGCACATCAGTGACGAGGGGGTGGGAACAGAAGTTTACCAAGAGTTTGCGCGCATAGTTCCAGCAGCTGTCAGTGACAAGGCAAGGCAGGCATGGATGCCCCCATTTTACAGATGAGGAAACTGAGGCTCAGGCTGGGCTAGTGACTAAGGGAAGCAGCATGTAGTATGTGACTTGAGGCATCTCTCTCCATCCTGAGTAACTAGGGAGGCAGCCTGGCTCCCTAAGCATGTGTGTGGTGCATCAGGGGCTAGTAGAGCTGCTTTCTGGGAACTCTTGCTACGGCCAGAAGCACCTCCCCAGATGGTAGTGGGGTCCTCCATCTACTCCCCTAGAACCGCCTGGGTGGGCACTGCTGACTTCATAGGGCTCCCCTGAGAGGCCAGGCCCCAAGGCGCAGGGCGGGCTGGGTTCCCTCACATGCTGGCTATCAGTGCTGGGTCACTCAGGTGCTCCCATGAGTGAGAACCAGGTGACTGCAAGCCAGGGATGACTAGGCTTCTGGTCAATATTGTGTCCTTCTCTGCCTTGGGCCAGGCATGGCCCTGACTCCTCCTGCCCCCCAGCCTGTCCAGGGGAGGCTGCAAAGCCACTCTCCAGAACTGAGGTCCTTGGGAATGGGGAGGGCAGCAGCCCCCATTACACTTGTATTCCTGGCCTGAGGGGCCGCCCAGGTCCCCAGGCCCACAAAACCCTAAACCCTTGATTAGGTCACTCTGGAGACTGTGGGCAGCGGGCTGGAAGTCCTAGCCCTTGTCTAGGTACCATGCCTAGGATACGGGGAGCTGAGGGGGCTGGCAGTGCTGCAGTCCCCAAATGCCTCTCATCCCACAGGGCACTCGGGCCTCTTGCCTTGGGGTAGGGGCATGTCCCAGAGCTGATCTCTCTGTCCAGCCTCACCCTGCTCCCTGTCCCTGCCCCTCACAGGGTCCCAGGATATGGGGTGTATGGGTCTCATGCTGCCAGAGAGGCACTGCCCCAGCCACAACGCTGGGGTGGCTCCACCCAGCCTCTTCCTCCTGCCGTCTGTGCTGACTCACCACCAGGGCCAGGGCTTGTGCCCCAGAGCCCAGCCAGGCATCTATAAAAGCAGACTGGTTCAGGCCCCAGCATCCTGCTTGATCACCACCTGTCGCCGCACAATGTTGGGAGGCCTGGGGAAGCTTGCCGCCGGGGGTCTGGCCCACCGCACCGAGAAGGCCACCGAGGAAGCTGGTAAGGACCCCGAGGCTCCTTTCCACCTGCACCGTTCCTGCCACTGGGGGATCGGGACAGACTCGACTGGGCCTGTGCTGATCCCAGCAGGACTGGGGCAGGCCTTGACCCCATGGGGAGCTGAGGCTGACCAGCCGCATAGGGACAGGATGGAGGTGGGGGGCTATGGAAGCTGAGGAAGGTACCTCGGGGAGGAGACATGAGGGGTCCACTGCCCCAAGCAACCCTCCCAGTCAGACCTGCTCTGCCCCCTGGGCTTGATACATTCCTGGGGTCTGTGGCTGAGGCCCGGAGGGGGCAGCTCAGAGGAGGCCCCTCGTGGCGAGAGGGGAGCCAGGGTGCTGGGTGAGCAGCTGGTGGCTTAAATATGTCACTCTGGAAAGCAGGGAGGGGCCCTTCAGTATTAAAACAAACTATTCCGAGTATCCTATACAAAAAAAGGAAGATAGAGTTTAATTTTTACCATAACTTTATCTTATTTTATTTTATTTTACATCTTTATTGGAGTATAATTGCTTTACAATGGTGTGTTAGTTTCTGCTTTATAACAAAGTGAATCAGTTATACATATACATATGTTCCCACATCTCTTCCCTCTTGCGTCTCTCTCCCTCCCACCCTGCCTATCCCACCCCTCTAGGTGGTCACAAAGCACTGAGCTGATCTCCCTGTGCTATGCGGCTGCTTCCCACTAGCTATCTACCTTACGTTTGGTAGTGTATGTGTGTCCATGCCTCTCTCTCGCTTTGTCACAGCCTACCCTTCCCCCTCCCCATATCCTCAAGTCCATTCTCTAGTAGGTCTGCGTCTTTATTCCTGTCTTACCCCTAGGTTCTTCATGACATTTTTTTTCTTAAATTCCTTATATATGTGTTAGCATACGGTATTTGTTTTTCTCTTTCTGACTTACTTCACTCTGTATGACAGACTCTAGGTCCATCCACCTCAATACAAATAGCTCAATTTCGTTTCTTTTTATGGCTGAGTAATATTCCATTGTATATATGTGCCATA